TCTGCCACTCTGCCAATCATCTCTGTCCCCTTCTCCCTCATCACCCATCCTCCAGACAGAGCAGAATGCCGCACCCCCCCCTCCCCGCCGTCTCAGCACTGCAGAGCCCATTCTACAAATGCCCTAGGTCTGGAATCCCTGGCTGCCATCATTCTCTTGTTGTGCTGACCCAGATCCTTCCAGCTGCAGCAGGCAGGCGGACACCCAGAAGGGCAGCATGGATAGAGACGCCAAGGAAATCAGCACCCCAGCCATGTCACCCAGGCCCTTAGCATGTTCACCCACGGAGACTGAGCTCCATCTGCAACCTGGCCCTCTTCGGGTTCCCAGAAGGTTCTCTGAAGGTGCCATCAGTGAGCACATGGACTTCAAAGCAATTATGAAAGCTATAGGAACAAAAACTAGTGCGTTCATTCAGCAGCAGCAAATTACACTAAATTATCTTAGCAAATAAAGCAAAATGTCAGGTCAGCGACTGGCAGAGATGCATGTTGGTCCTTCCTCCAACACCCTAAGAGTGGGGGTCACATTCTTCAGGAAATACTTTGGAGAGGATATTGAAACATGAGATCAGGAAGGGAGAAGAATAAGGTGCAGACCAGCCCCCCTTCCCCACCGCCCTGAAAGCTTGCTGTCCCAGGGAATTATGGGACCAGGTAGGCAGACTCAGGAAGGACCCAAGGCCAGAGACCACACAAGAGGATGGTGAGGGACAGTGGAGAGGAAGGATGCTCCAGTCGCTCCAGTTACTGGCTGGCCTGCGGTCCAATAGAGGCTCAGGATACCCTGGGGCAGAAGCAAGTCTGAGACACGAAGGGAAGGAAGCAGGAAGAGCGCGAGGCTCCTTCTTTGAGGCTGGCTCACACGTGCACACTGGCTGCAGGGAGCGGGACAGATGGTCTTTGCCTCTGTGCAGAATACAGTGCTGGAGGGAGGGAGGGAGGGAGCCAGAACCAGCCACGTGGCTGTGCACATCTGGAGGCCTGGGGGCGACCAGGGAGAGAGACAGAGGGAGAAAGGGAGGCAGTGGGAGGAGGCGGGGGGAAGGGCCCCATTTCCTACACTGAGCTGAAGGGTCTGAGCCATCATCCGTGGCACCCCATCCTTCCTCACTCCCCCGGAGCCTGGGTGCCTGGTCTGACTGAGGGCAAGAATTTGGGGTTCCTGCTCTCCCCTGGGCCCACAACATAGGGCCCCCCTTCTTCATGCACATAGGATCACAGATTCCCGCAACCTTCTTTGCACCTGTATTTTCTGTGCTTCCTTCAGTGAGACAACGAACACCCCTTGGTCTGATTCAGTGATCACTGGGAACAGCTGGCTTGTCTCCGGTGCCTGGTCTCAAAGGTCTCTGCTCAGGATTGTCCCTCTGAGCCCTATTTGGCATTAACTTGTAAGCCGGGCTAGAGCCTCTGGGTCACACACATCGAATATTTAGCAATGATCTCAACCAATCGCATCAGAACTTCTAGGCATGGAGCCCAAGCACCAGTATTATTAAAAATCTCCTAAGGGATTCTAACGTGCAGCCAGGGTTAAGAACTATTGGACTAATGGAATCTGGAGTTGTATCACTAGGAACATAGTGCTCAGGATCAAGGAGGTGAGAGAATGATCTATTATGAGCTGAAACATTATCAGGCCAGGGCCTCAGTCTGAAAGGATGGTGATGAAACATGTCCAGAGGAAGGCGTTGGGGCTAGAGAAATTATATCTGCTGAGGGAGGTTGAAGAGAGGAAAAGGCTCAGACACGGGGGAAAGACTGGGAACAAAGGTCAGAGACCCTCTGTCTCTGAGGGCTGGGATGTATCTGCCCCATGAGATCCTGGATGTCCTGTGTTCTAACAAGAACCACCTCATTAGTAGTGAAATAGTCACCACTATGAACAGAGGCAGGGGACTGCCACAAGGTAGAGGCTGAAGGGAAGGCGGCCCAGAGCGGGTGGGAGAGGAAGAGATGACCACAGGCTCCACCCCTGAGGTCCCTTTAAGCCCAGCTGGGGGCTGGAATTCCCAGCACCCTTCCTGCCCTATCTAGAATCCCCACTTAGTCGCCCTAAAGTGTTCTTTGCTTGCTCATTCTTGCTGCCACAGAGACTGGCTAAACAGGCTGTCTGAAAAAGTTGGCAACTCTACCAACACTTAACATACACAGCCCTGTGACCCTGAGGTCCCACTTCTGGGGCTCCATACTGTAGAAACTCAAGCACAAATCTGCATTATTTGTATCCAAATTATAGGAACTGGCAAAATATATTCTAGAACAGCAGTACTGTGAGATACTATGTAGCCATTCAAAAAGAATGAGGGATGTCTTTGAAAGAAGCTAGACACAAAATGGTATGGACTGTAGGGTTCCATTTATAGGAAATTCAAGAACAATCAAGGGGTGCCTGGGTGGCTCAGTCGGTTAAGCTCAGGTCATGATCCTGGAATCCCAGGATCCAGTCCCACACCGGGCTCCCCGCTCAGCGGGTAGTCTGCTTCTCCCTCTGACCCTCCCCCGTCTTGTGCTCTCACTCTCTCTCAAATAAATAAATAAAATCTTCAAAAAAAAAATACATATGGTTTCAGTTTTATAGAAGTGTTAGCCTAGGGAAAAGTCTAGAAGGATAGCAAACTCTTAATAGTACCTCCCTCTGTGTGGGGGGACTGGAGGTGAAGACAACCACTCTGTACATTTCCGTTGTTAAATAACAAAATTCAACCGAGTAAATCTGAAGATCTAATGGGCTTTATTAAATGATTCAGGCCACCAAGCCAGTAGAGGGAAGCTCCCAGGAGTTGTACAAAACGGAAAGTTCTTATAGGAGGGTGGGGCAAGAAAGTTTTTGCAAAAGGATAGTTCCAGGCAAGGCCACTTTCCCTGGGCAGGGAAAAGCAACAGGAAAAGCCAGGGGTCTTATCATGCAGATTACCTTCCTTTGGGGGATGGAGAAGGCCCACATGGCAGATTATTGGCGACCCTACTAAGAAAATCCCTATAAGATGGTATTTCTGGGCGACGTCGAAAGTGCAATTAGATTATATATTAAGTCCCAGTGTAGGAACTTGGCCTAAGCGATGCCATTTTGGGCCTGTGGTGTTTTGTTTGTGTTTGCTTGTTAGTTTAACACCATATTGTTTGCATTTGCAGTGTTCCCACGCATTACTGCACGCAGTCCTCCGCTCCTGCTTCTCTGGGAGTGCCCTGCACTTGGAGGCCCGGGATTTTGCTACTTGGTGCAAACCTTGGCTTCACATTTTAGTTTAAGACTTGGGCTTTGCAGAAGCCCCTGGCAACCAACCTGGGAAGGCACAGTTCCTGCCCATACTGAGCAGAGGCAGAGTGCTCCGAAAGAGGACAATCAGGATGGCTCAGGGCCCCCAGCCCTGCTGTCTTCACCCCCATCCTAGGCTCCTCCCTCTGAGCAATCAGATCCACTAACTGGTCTTCACAGCCCTGGTTACAAGTGCTCCTGGAGGTGAATTCCGGTCACACCTTGAGCCAGCCAGGCAAATGAACCCTTGCTCTGTCCCCTCTTTAATATGGATGTGACACCTGCAGGCTACAGCTTGTCGCACTGTGAGAATTATTTCTCCATTAAAATGCAGAAGTTGGAGCTTTGCCCAGGAAAGGCAGCTAAAAATACTGCTCTCTGGGGCACTTATCACAGGGGACTTAGTGGCCACCTTCCTTAGCCCTCAGCCCCCGGGAAAGTACCCCCACCTGCCGGGTCCCTCCTGCGAGCATTTGATCCAGTGTCTGAGGCTTATCCTGGCCCCATCAGGAAGAAAAAGCACTGGTTCCCATGCCTCTTTTATAGATAGGCAAACTGAGGTCACTGCGCTCCATCTACAAAGTCACCTAGGGAGTAAGAGAGTGCAGCCCCGACAGCAGGGAAGAAAAATAACCCCCCGCATGCACCCCGCACTTTATAGTTTGCAGCATCTTCTTACCCACTGTCTTGTCCAACCTTCAGACAGATCCTATGAAACATGAACCACCGTCGACCCCACCTGGCAGGTAGAGTTTAGCCCAGTGGGGTAAGCAACATGCTCAAGGGTGCAGGGGGGAGGAGTACAGGGCAAAGGCAGAGCCCCAATACAAGTCTTTTGATTCTAAAATCCACCCAGAGCACCCGTAGTGGGACTTCAAGCAAGGTGACCGGTCTCACTGCGGGGCCATGAGCTTTTATAATAGGCACTCTGGTTTGTAAAGAATGCTGCATACATTTCAGGGGAGGACTCAGCGCCCTACTTAATGGATAGGAAATCAAGGGTCAGAGGTATGAAGGACTCGGTCACAAGTTAGCAGTGGAGCTGGGAACAAAAGTCAAGTGTCCTGACCACCCCCCCCCCACTGTCCTGCTGCCCCAGCGCCTTGTCACCCAGGGGCAAATGGGCACAGTATGCTCTGCAGGCTTCCCCATCCCTGAACCCAGGCCCCTGGAAACCTGTTTATCTGCCACATTCACCCCTCTTCTCAGTCTTTGGAGGTGGAGGATGGTGAAAACCTCAGGTCTGTTTCTTATATAAGAAAAGTAAAGTCCAGAGAAGCTAGATGCCCTACTCAGGGTCACAGGGCAGAATGAGGTCCCGGACCTGGATCTCTGATTCAAGTCCGGTGCCCATTCCACGGCGCGAGCCCAACACCAGCATGCAGAGCTCCTTCCCTGGTATCAGCTTCCTACTAGGGCTCAGCTTCCCCATCTGTAAAATGGGGTGCTAGAAGTGGCCCTAAGCAAGCCCAGGATCCGAGCCTCCCAAGATCAAGAAATTAGGTGGTGCTTCCAGGAATGGGAGGAGCCAAGCCTTTCTGGACAGCCAACTTCACTTTCCCAAGGGGGAAACTGCGGCCAGGGAGGGGCTGCATGGCCACAGAGACCCAGCGACTGAGGGGTGGCGAGAGGGAGGAGACACAGGCATGCCCGCTCTGGCCTCAAATGTCCAGCAGGGAATCCGTCCTACCCAAGTCCTGCTGCCCAACCTGCTTCCACACACTTCTCAGAGAAAAAGCTTTCTACAAAGCCATTTATTTTTCCCAAAATACACCCCCAGTTAACAAAATTCCTCAGAGTCCCACATTTAAATTAGGCATGCCACCTCTTCCGTTCCCTGGGGAAGGAGGAAATGTCAGCGGGAGGACATCAGAAGCGTTCCGGAGGCCGGGGGCTGGCGAGAGACAAGCCAGGAGGTGTCCTCCCAGCTCCAGAATAGCACCATGGCGGGGGCTGAGGGGCTGTGTCCCTGTACCCTCCTGGCCCTGCCCCGTCCCCAGGCTTCCGCTACACTTCTGCTCTCTGGGGTTCGGGGTGCCGTGGCCGCCTGCCCACCTGCTCACACCTTGAAAGACTGGAAACCATCAGATTCTCCGACTGTAGCAAGAGGCTCTGCCCCATCTCCAGGTTTCTGCCCGCACCCCTGCTCTGGGGAGGGATTAGGGATGGCCTGGGCATGAGGTATCCAGGAGGCCGTGGGCACATTGGAGGGGTACTGTAGGGAGCCGGGCAGGAGCCCCTCACAAGGCGCAGGCCGTGGCAGGCGGTTGTCTGTCTCCTCGCAGTTCCCCAGTTGAAGGACAAGCTCCTTAATGGAGGGCCCTGTCTTCTCACAGCGGGTCCCAGGTACCTAAGGTAGTGCGGGCACCCCGTGGGTGCTCGGTGAACGTGACTAGAGTGGATGAACAGAAGGACAGGAGGGAAAAGCGGAGGGCTACAGGCTGACCCCCAGGGGGCCCACGCAGACCCCCAGAGACCCCGTGTGACCAGCACATGCTTCCCACGGGTAGGCAGCCCCAGGGCACAGCCCAGAGCACCACGGGAGAGACTGGGCGAAGGGAGGTCCCTATACGTCCCAGCACAGGTGTTGGTGTGTCCCTGCATGCCCGGGGAAGGGCCCTGGCTTCACTTAGTGATGGGGGAAAGGCCAAGGCGGGGGCCAGAGGAGGGGAGGCGGGAGGGGAGATGCCTGTGGCCTCAGGAGATGCTGAAGCTGCAGTGTCCCTGTCTGGGAGACGGGCTTACGGCGGGGGGAGTGGAAGAAAAGGCTGAGAAATGAAAACTAGTGTATCAGAGCCACTGGAGAAAGAAGGCCAGGGGTGACTGCGTATCCTGTCTTTGGAGAAAGAAGGCAGAGGATCCGTCTGAATATTGTGTCCTGCGGAGAAAAAAGAGGCAGCCAGATGGTCCATGCAGCATATCCACTGGAGAAATAAGGCGGTGGGGTGGTGTCTGTATTATGTCCATAAGACACAAGACAGCAGGGTGGTTTATGTGTCGTGTCACTGGAGAAATAAGGCAGCAAGACTTGGGAATCACGTCCATCGGAGAAAGAAGGCTGTGGGGTGGTCTCTCTGTCCTTTGGAGAATGGGCAGACCTGCCCGAGTGGGAGCCATCTGTTGGGGGCAGGGCTCACACTGAGGCCCCGGTGCAGCCAGAGGTGGGAGCCCCCAGGCCGGAGCAGCAGCTCCCTGGTCTTCGTGGTCAGGCTATTTCTTGTCCATCATCTGCATTTCGTGATGGAAAGAAAAAGTGGGGGAAAAGGCATTAAATGCAGGAGTTGTACTCTTGGGCGTGCTCCAGAAGCCCAGGCGCATGCTCACGCACTTCCGGGTGGGGAGTGTGTGTGGGGCTGGCCGCAGCGGTCTGACTAGCAGCCCCTGGGCTAAGCACTGCCCTGGAGGCCCAGACAGACGCCAACACAGGAGCTGGGCATCAGACAGACCATGAGGCCCCTGAGGGAGGCTGCCTAATCCCCACCAGCCTCTCTCTCCAGCCCCATGGCTCCCCCGCCCCACACCCCTCCCAACCACTTTCCCTGGCACGCTTGTCCCCTCCTACCTCCCCCTCCGTCTCCCTGGCCTGGCTCCCTCCCCTCCACTAGCAAGAAATCCTTTCCAGCTCCCCTTCCCATGCTGAGTTCCTCTGGCTCTTGTCTCCACATGGGGGGCACCAGTGGACTGGCCCCGCTCCACTCCCTGACCTGGGGGAGAGTTTCAAAGGAGGACCAGGGCATGTGTGACCCCGCCGCTTCCTCTCCCATTCTTTGGGGTCTGTCTGTCCCAGAGGAAGTAGTCCTCCCTTCTGGGTGCCGCCTCTGTACACATGCAGTGTGACCAGAGACTGGAGGGCCAGGCTGCCCCACTGGGAACGGGACTGGGAAGCCTGATGCACCCCGCACCCATGCCATTCTCCCAAAGCTCTCTTCTAGAACCGAGCTGACATTTTCCTCTCCATCTGCTCAATCCTTCCATGGCTCATTTGGTTCAGAGCAACAAGGAGGCAGATAACTTGTCTCTACCCCTCCAGACCCCAACATAGGCCTCTTACTGCCACGGAACATTCTACAGCATTTGAAGGGCCTTGCTTTACAGAGCATCTCTGCATTTGTCACCCTGCCTAATCCTCACCACCATCCTGCAAAGGAGCTGTGCATTCCACAGATGTGCATTCCACAGATGTGCATTCCACAGATTCCTGGAAGGTCCAAGGCAGGGACTAGACCCAACGTATCCCTCCCGACGCCGGGGCCGCTTTCTTCTGCACAATGCTGCCTTCCCAAAGCCCTCTTACTGCCTTTCGTGAAAGTCGGAGTCTATGACCCTCTCGTATCACGTATTTTGTGCAGGCTTCTGAGGGCCCCATTGCCCGCCCCCCCCGCCGCCGCCCCTGCCTCTGGAAGTTTCCTGAAGATATAGGGCCTACGTCCTTCCCTTCTCCCCTAAATGTAGGGACGAGCATCCAGGAATTCAGGGAACGTTTCTTTCCTGACAGGGACACCCAGGCAAGCTGAAAAAGTTTCCATAACCTTTAGCAACCAACTTTGATTTTCTAGGTGGAAGCCACTGATATCGAGCAGCAAGTCTGCATCAAGGAGTGTTTTGTTCCAAATACACACACACACACACATTTCCCCAGAAACCCGCACACACAGATGTCGCTGTGGTTACTTTCAGTAAGGAAGAATCTCAAACTTACTTCCAACCAACCACTTCCTAACGTAACCACTGATGTTACAGAATATGAATAACGATGATTGTTAACATTTACTAACTGCCTACTACATGTCAGGAACGTGGCTGACCAGCCAAAAGCCATATTCTCTGGGCTCGCTGGAGTTAGGCGTCATGTGACTAGGTCCAGACCAATGGGTGGAAACTGGAGTAACAGGAGCTATTTCTAGTCAAGCCCTAGAAAAAAAACGTTCCTCCCTGTCCTCCCTCCCCCTTGCTTCTGGAGAAGGCATGGGAGCTGGAGCTCCCTGGATGGAAGCTCTGAGAGGAAGAGGGCAGAAACCAATAAATGGAACCTAGCTCCAGGACATCAGTGGCCCTCAGATCACCTATGCTTAGAATGTTACAGGAGAGAGAAATAAATCCCTGTCCTTGCAAAGCCTCTGTCACATCTACATCTGCTTAGAGCAGCTGGGACCTTGATTACTCCACCCCCTGCCATGCCGCCAGGGGAGAGTCAAGGCTGCGCTCCTGGGGAGGGAGCCTCAGGTGACCTGTGAGCAGGTGATGATCACCCCACCACCAACGACCCTCCCCAGCTTCCTGCACACAGAGGTGCCAACACACAGAGACAGAATCTCGAGCAGCACGTGTCTTTACCTTCTTTGTTCTCAGAGTGTTTCAGAGGCCGCAGGGCTGCAAAAAAAGGAAGGAGCACACAGTGAGGGAGGGGGACCCGTGGAAAGTGGGGGGTCAGGAGTCAGGCAGAGGGACAGAAGCCAAGGAAGAAGTGAGGTCTACATGGACTGGGAGAAGTTGGGAGGATGAGGGCAACCTCCCAGCCCCAGGGAAGGGGCCCTAGGCTGCTGTCTCAAGGCCCAGCTCCACTCTGTATCCTGTCACCCCTCTCTCTGGGCCTCAGTTTTCCACATCCGTACAATGGGAACAGCTACCCTGCCCTCCAGTGAGCCAGAGATGCGGAAGTACACCGAGCCTGCGCCGCAAATAAGAGTGAAGTAAGAAGCCACAGGAGGCTGCAGCCCTTCCCAGGTGGGCCTGGGGTCATGCAGAACGGAGACTGAACAAATCTCTAGGCCGCCCTCCTCTCCCTACCCCCTCCGTCAACTACATCTGCCTCCGAGCAAGAAAAATGAGGCCTGATCCCAGGGCTGTCTCCACACCAAAGGCAGAGAGTTAATTGGCATCATTTACAGCAGTCCCCAGGTGTCAGTCTCCTGCTCTTCCTCCACGGGGGTGGGGAGGGGACCGATGTCAACTGGCACCATCCCAAATGGCTCAGCGGGAACCTGGCTCTCCCAGCCCAGGAGCCCCAGGAGGGAGGGCAGTGAGGCCTCCAGTGGCCACGAAACACCAGCGCCGTGGCACCCACCCCAAGCTAGGCTCCAGGTTGATGTTTCCAAAGCACCATGCCCTTTGCAAACCACCTGTGTGTCCAGTCACTCGAAAGAGCCTCTGGTGCCATCAAGACAGGGCCAGCATAACATTTTACAGAGGGACACTGAAGCCCAGAGCAGCAAAGCACTTTGACCAAAGTCACACAGCCTCTAACCAGAATGCGACTATCTTAAATTGTTTACCTATTAACAAGACTCCAAGCTATCAAGCATGGACCAGGCACCAGGGACGGTACTAGACCCTTTAAATACATGATCTTATTTAATTAAACCCACACAACCTATGAAGGAAGACAGTTATTAGGACGAAACCAAGACTCAAAGATGATGAAACTGAGGCTCCGAGAAGCAAAGTGACTTGCTCCAGGCCACTCAGCCCACGAGCGGCAGCTGGAACTTAAGCCCAGGCTGCCCTGTCCCCTGAGCCCTCCCTCTTCCCCTAGGAAGCCACCAGACCCCACAGTTCGGGGTCACTCAGAGTGGAGCTGGCCCTGGTAGAAAGGTCAGGTAGGCGGGAAAGACGAAGCAACACCTGAGAGGGAGTCAGGGGAGATCCACATCCAGGCCTAACACTGAGCAAAGACTGGACTCATCCGGGCAGGAGGCCACAGCCCACAGAACACACTGCATCCAAACCCCAAGCAAATCTGGCTCCTCCGGATCCTAGAGAGACCCTAGAGATCTCCCTGTCCCTGCGTCCTTCCCTCAGCCAATAAGGCCAGCTCTAAGATCAGGCTTACCGGTCTTGGATCCCTCTCCATCCCCATCCTGGTCCTCAGCACCTGGAAGACAAGGACTCAGTAAACAAGACTTTCTCAGCCCACAGTCATTCCTGCACTTCTCCACCTGGGAGTGCAGGAGGCAGGTAAGCAGGCTGAGTAGGCCTGGCCTGCGCTCCGGATGTTGGACACAGGGTCGGAGCCTGAGACCAGCACAGAGCAGAGCCCACCCCTCCCCCAGCCAAGCACCATCTCCTCACCCCTCCAGCCAGCCACACCCACCGACCCCATCGCTCCCCCATCCACCCACTTACCAAGCCCCCCTACCACCAGCCTCCAACATGAGCACCACCCACCTACCTGTGCACCTGTCCTTCTACCAGCCCCCCTGCCGCCTGCAGCACAGACCGCCACCCACCTATCTGTCCCTCCTCCTCCACACATGCACCCTCCTTCTCGACGCCCAGCCAGCTCCCACCTCTGACCATCTACTTCCATGTTCACCCAGGGAAGCCTCTGTGTACCCACCTACCACCCACCGGCATCATCCCCCGACTCACCAATGTGTGCTCACCACCCACCACTCCCCCGAGTTGACACACTTCCCAACCAAGCTCAAACCGCCCATCTACCAAGGTCAACTCACCACCTGCCAATCACCAAAGTCAACTCACACTGATCCCAACCCAGCTAATGGCAGCTCCTTCCAACTCTGCCCACTGGGAAGCAGACACACCCTCACACAGGGACCCGCACACCCATGCGGCATTCACGCGTGTGCACGAAATTTCCACGCTCTACACCCACGCTGCTACATGCAGACACCCTCGGGTGACTTCCACCCTCACCATCACACTGCAGCCCCACACGTCCACCACTCACTTGCGGTCCCACTCCTACGCACACTCAGCCTGCCATATTCCCACCCTCCGAGGCAGGCTCACACCTGTTCACACATACAAGACACATTCAGCATCAAGGCCACACACACACCATCAGGCCCCATGTGCACACTCAGGCTGATGCCACAGACACACCAACATACCCAAAGACACGTGTGTGTGTGCACACCCTCTCTCCCTCACCTGCATTCTCCTCCTCACAGCTCTGCTTGATCTTTCTCCAGCACACGAAGGCCAGGGCCACCAGCAGTGCGACAAGACAGACAGACAGCCCCACGGTCACCCACAGGGCCTCAGGGGGGAAGGTCATGGGCTGCCCTGGGAGGAGAAGTGGGGAGAATGGGAAGAGATGGTCACACATGAACCCCGTGGCCCTGAGGACTGCACACCCTTGGCCAAGAGGTGTGAATAGGGAGCTCCCACCCTCACTGGGCTCCAATGCTATGAAGAGAGCTCACTGAAGTTCCCACGCCACTCCCCCACACCCCAAGACACATCCAAACCCCGACACAGCCATGGCTGGTGTGGACGTGCCTCAACTTGGCAGGGGTGAAGAGTCTGCAGTTGATGATGCTCTAGAACCTTCTATGGCTCCCCACTGACATTTGAATAATGCTTCAGTCCTCTCAAGGACTTCTATTATGTGGCTGTTCCTTCCCCTCCCCCAACCTTTCTTTCCATGTCCACCTCAGGAACCTCTGCTCCAGCCAAGCTGGTGAACTAACCATTCTCTGCAGAGACAACTGACTCCTTCCAGCCCCCACGCCATTGCTGTCAGGTTCCCCTACTTAAAAAAATGCCCCCAAATGCTCACCTAGTTTAAGGTTCACCTCCTCAGGAGGCCCTCCCTGACTCGTCCAGCCCTGCCCAGTGACATCTCCCGTCCTAGAGATCGGGAGTCAGCAAATTATGGTCTGCAAGCCAGATCTGGCCTGTGGTCTGTTTTTGTACAGCCTGTAGGCTAATAATAGTTTTTATATTTGTAAAGGGTTGCAAAAAAAGAAACAGGAGGAGCAGAAGGGGAAGGAAAAGTGGCAGCAGCAACCAAGATCGTATGTGGCCCACAAAGCCTAAAATATTTACTCTCCAGCCCTTTACAGAAAATGTTTGGGGAGCCCCGCATGTAGATGGGGGTGGGAGCTGAGGGTGCCGTGGTGAGGGTTCTGGGTTTACCCAAGAAGGGGAGACTTGCCAGGGGAATGTTTCCGTGAAGCGCGGCAGGCCCGTCTGTTAGCTATCTCGCAGCAGAGGGACGGGCTCAAGGCGCCCGCACCTGGGTCAGGGCCAGCCGCTGTCCTGAGCACGCCAGCCAGCAGTCCAGGCCCTGGGCCCATGCCAGGTCCCGGGCAGAAAGCTTGGGGACCTCAGATCAAAAAAGAGACAGCACCGCTTTCCTCTGCTCTCTGCAGACCACGAGGGCCCAGGGCAGCAGCGGCAGCCGGGGGGCTAGCTGGTTCTGCAGAAGGCTGCATCAGGGCAGACAGCAGTGCCGGGAGAACCTTCGGCCACAGAGGCCCCGGTAGGGACGCGGGCATTTGCAGCAGATGTTCCCTTGGCCGGCATGGCTGGCAGAGCTGCCGCTCAGGACGTTGCAAGCAAAGGGACCCGTCACCCAGGGGAGCGGGGGAGGACAGCAGCGGACACGAGGGGCCAAGAAGGCCAGTCCAGGAAGCCCGTGAAAGAAAAACCCCTGGGGATCCCGGGTGGGGATCCTGCAGCAAAGGAGGGAGCAGAGCCACAGAAATACTCAGGAGGAGGGAGGATCTCCTTCTGTGTTCACCCCCTAAATGTTGTCAGTGCCTGGAACACGGGCCAGACTTGCCCTGGAGGAAAGAGCGGGGCTCAGGCCGGGGTGTTGAGGCTCCATTACCAGCACGTGCTCCATAAAGCCCCCTCCATGCACAGCACACTGGACGTCACGAACCTCCAGCAGGTGTGGGAGAGACCAGGCTGGAGGACTGACATTCTGAATCCCGGAATGTTTTAGCAGGCACAAAGCTGCCTGAAGCGAAATACAGGCCAAGGGCTCCAAAGTAGGCCAGACCTGCTCTTACGAAAACAGGAGGCTGGGTGGTGGGGAGGAGAGAAAATTAGGCTGAGAGGCTAAAGGTTAGATTCTGGTCCTGGTTCATCTGCTCACCACCCTGGGTGAGTGTAGAGGCGCCATGCACCTTCTAAATGTAAATGCAAACTATTGCATTTACCGTTTATCCAATTTTCAAAGAGGTGCCTGGCCCCCCAAATGGAGCCACTGTGCTAGTCTGCAGACTTGGGAAAGTTCTCTCTTCTCTCTGGGCTTTGGTCTCCTTATCTCTGAAACAGAAGCACTTTAAATGTTAGCTCCTAAAGTTTAAACTTAAAGTGTTTTTCTCTTAGATGGGGTAAGCGTTCTCCCTACCATTCCATTTACACGCATAAGCCCTTTCTGCACAGTGTGGCAAATACCCAGTTCGGCCCCAGGTGCAAATGATCACAAAGTCCACTGGTCCTTCAAGGCTCTCTCAACTCCCGCCTGTCCCCGGAGACTTCTCCCGACTGCTCCTGCAGCCCACTTCCCTTCTCAGAAAGCTTCCCTTTCTCTGCCGATCTCACTCTACCTGGTACTTCTTATTCTCTCTGGAAACCTACCAGGTGGATGGAAGTCATGGGAAGGGAAGACAGGACAACCCGACAGATAGACCCTCTGTCCTGACACCAGAGGATGTGGGGAGGCCCCTGGGAAAGCTCAGTGGCCCAGGGAGAGGAACTGAGGAGAAAACCTGATGTCCCAACACAGATGGAGACTGCCTCCCTTGGCCTGAGTGTGGGCCTGCGCCCTCTTCACACCTCCAGGCACAAGGAGCACCCACTGATACGGACAATGCAGGAAGGGAAGGTGTTTGGGCTGGGATCCCAAACCAGACCCCAACCAGATTGAGGGAATTGCCAAAAGGACGGCATCAATCTGGCGTTTGACCACAAGGGGGCAGCAGAGATTCCCCCAACTGCTGCCTGGGTTGAGCGCTCCCCTCTAGAAGAGCTGACACCGCCCCGGTGAGGGTCGGGACCGACCACCTGGACATCCCCAGCTGTCTCTCAGGGCCTCAGATCAGATGGTGGCATGGACACAGCAACAGCTTCCCATCACCTGGAGGACTTCCGGTAGGAAAGCCCTCGCTCACCATGCCGTCTGCTCTAGAACTCCCACCCCCACCCCCAGATTCCCGCAGCTACTCCCGCCTCTGTGTAAGAAGCACAAGGACCACCTAAGGTGCTCTTAGGAGGGCCAATATTACAAATGACTCATATCAGCTCCTTAAAGCAAGTCCCTCAAGGACTTCTTGGTGGAGAGTTTGAAACACCTGAAAGGTCAGGTTTCTGACCACCCAAACCGACCTAAATTCCAACTCAGGGTCTAGAAAAAAGGCAGCGGCTCTCTTCGTCTCCCCAGCGGCTCACCTGCCGCCTGCCTACCTGTGATGGTGACGGAGCCATGAGCGTCCTGCCGCAGCACAGGGTTGCGCACCAGGCAGCTGTAGGTGCCATTGGCGCCCAGCACCACCCTCAGGACGCTGCGCACGTCGAACAGGCCCTGCTCGTTGGCCATCTGCGACGTGGTCACGTTGCCCGTCAAGGGGGCGCCCTGCCCGTCCTGCCAGAACACCTCGGCCTCCGGATAGCCCCGGTAGCTGGAGCACGTGATGGTCACCATGTCCCCAGGCCGCAGGTCCTTGTTGGGCTCCAGGGTCATGCTGGGCTTCGAGTAGGGAGCTGGAGTGGGGCAGAGGGTAGAGGGCAGAGGTCGAGGTAAGGCAAAGACGGGACGGGGGGAGTCGCAGGGGAGGAAAGGGCACCTGGAGGGACAGGGCTCAGCAGTGGGGCTTGAGTTACGGGGTCAGTGGTGGCGCAGTGGGTAAGGGGCTGCGGGAGGTGAGGGATGAGGCGAGGGGAGGGCGCCCCGTCCCGGCGCTCACCGGCCACCTGCAGGCTGACTGCGGCGCTGCCGAAGTCCCGGATGCTCACGAAGCAGGTGAAGCTGCCCTCATCAGCCACGCGCACGCGCTGCAGCCGCAGGGACGCGTTGCCCTGAGCCAGCAGGTCCGGGAAGAGCGCCGTGCGGTTGGCGTAGGCGCTGCCCTGGTCCCGGCCCTCGGCGAAGCTGTGCACCAGCTGCTTGGTGTCCGTCAGCTGCCAGATGAGGTTGAGCTGCGCCAGGCTGAAGCCGGGTTCGGGCGAGAAGGAGCAGCGCAGGGTGGCGTCGGTGCCCACCAGGGCCACCACGGGGTCCTCGGGGACCTGGACCTCCACGGCACCTGGGGG